TGATATTCACAGAAGTTTACACCATGAAGATGAACAACATAGCCGTCATCAACAATCGTAAGGTCACCATTCATAAAGAGTGTTGATCCTTTTTTTGTAGCAGTGGTAGTTGGAGTAAGGTGTCGGGCAGATTTTAAGTGAAAACATTCTAACTTAAGCGTAGTGTTGCCCTGGTCTATAAAATCCTTGGTTTCTACAGATAATGAGACGTCTTCACGGTGAGGATCATTTTGCGGTGGTTCAACTACGGTAGCAGTCATATTGATTAACAAAGGAGATTTGGGCAAGTCACTAGGATCGATCGCAAGAGGAACGATATCATGTAAAACGATCTATAAATATAACTTATTTAAAAAAAAAAAAAAAAAAAATCGAATAAATAGGCTAGGTGTTGGGAAAAGGTACCGAATTGGTAATTTTCCAAAAGCCATTTTTTTACATAAATCAATTTAGATTGAGATCAGAATTATTTCTTATTTAAGAAATAAAACATTTGTATTAATAAAATTTTACAGTACGGTTCTTTAAAGATTACATTTTCTTACAGTGTTAATTTTTCAGCTAAAATTTACTGTGCGGACACTGCACGATTTGGAAACTTTACTGTGTGCAGCAAATAACGAAAAACTATTCACAAGTGTGTGCACTACTTACAAAATGTTAATTTTTCCTGTGCGGCATTCGCACGTCTGTTAAAAGAAAATGTGCGTAAAATTTTGTTTCTGCGTGCCACGCACAGTTCGCATAGCGAAAAGTAATCACTGTTTTCTTATGATTTATCATAAGATTCATAATCAAAAAATCAATTTCTTGATCATACACATTTTTTTGTCAATTTGAGACTTTCCCCCAACACCTAGTCCAAGTAGTGATCATTACTAATAACGAACATGCCTTTAAGATAGGAAATTTCTTTCCATCGTTATCAATATCCTCAACGAATCGGAATTTTCCGGTTGCCAGAAGTACATCTTCAGTTGAAAAAGATGGTAGGGTTGGATTTTGGGTATCATCGTTTTGAGAATAAAATCTGACCAAAAGAATGTTCAAGTGAGATGCATTATCTTTAAGACGTATCACTCCAGTGGCTTTGACAACGGTAAGGGCCTTGCTTGTAGTGCTTTCCTGTCTATCAGTAATATAGCATATTACTGTTATAGTGGATGGCATTTTTTTTTTTAAAAATAAGATTTAGATTTTTTTTTTTTCTTTTATCATAAAATCGCGACACGCGAAAAAAGACATGAGAAAATTAATTTTTTATTATTTATGTACTTTATATTTTTTTTAGGATGGTAATGATTTTTTTAAATCATATCATCACACATTTTTTAAACTTTCAACATGAACATTTCCTAGAAACACGTTTTTTCACATGTGCAGTTTTTTTTAATTACAAAATACCAAACCAAAAAAATAACTCATTACTAACGAACATTCTTGTGTTTTACCCGATAATCAACTTTTATCTTAAAGCGTTACCAGGACTTTACATGTTATGTGTAATACTTCATTGGTTGGACCAATCGTATTTTCTAGTCCTTGATTGAAGCACATAATTGTAAAGTTTATAAGCGCACCTCATGATCAATTATCAAATATACGAATTTATCAAGATCATCGTTTAAAATCACGAGCTTTATTGATTCTAAAAAAAATTGCGTAACTATACAAAATACATTCACGTAATTAGGCCGTTCAAAGTTAATTAGTTGTTTAAATAATTAATAATAATTAATTAATAATAATTAATTAACGTTAACATTCTGAGCTCAGGCTTGAGAGAGGGGGAGAGAAACTAAATAAACACATAATACTCGATTAAATCTCACTGGTCAACCATATTCACATGATTTTCAAAGATCATCCTGCATTGTGATTGGGTTGTTCAATACCTGAAGGGAGAGAGGAGAGGATAACGTTAAACAACAATTCAACCTCAAACGGCCTTATTTTTTATTTATCGATTATGTATTTTTCTATCAATCAGTTAACAAATAACTATTCATCTTTATCCTATATCGAAACAAACAGATAAATTAACAACAATGAACGAACAAATCTTTCGCTGAGAGATTATATCCATTTCTTTGAAGATCATCGATTATCAATCCATCTGACCAGTAAAAAAACCGAAGAAGACAAATTCAAAAATAAGAGACAACCACCTAAAAACTTAAATAAATACAGGTTGGGGTATTCATAACAACGATAAACAGCACAAGTTCAATACAAGACGTTGTCTCTCATGACATTTTTTTTTTTTATCTTTTACTGACATACCTTATACACATTTTTTTCTATCCACATGTTATATGTACATACTTTTACATATACATTACATATACTCGTATATCTATATAGTACAAGTATATAAATACATGTTTTACATGTTTTACATGTTAGAAAAACGGTAAAAGCAAAATTTCCTTTTTTGAATATTACGAGGAAATTGGGTCGACGATCGGATGCACAAACAACCACAAGTAGTAACGATACTAGTCAAAAATAGTAATAATCATTCATACCATACCATATAAAAAAAACACGCATGACAGACTCATTACACAGCATAACCGCATATGGCAAAAAGGAGCGGACGAAATTGAATAGCTCTAATTACTCTATCAGGGGAGTGCCTAAATAAACAGGAACCTAAAATCATCAATAAATATAAGATATGAAAAACATACAATTATAATCATGATCATAATACTCACAACAGTAATTGTAATTATAATTATAATTATAATAATTACAACTATAATAATGATAAGTGGTCTTATAAATAGTGACTGTCAATAAAATTCAACGCTTTCTATTAATTTGATTCAGAATATGTTGAAGTAAATAAAAGCAGAAAAAACTAACCAAATGCAAGTTATCTGCTTGAACTGAACATTGGTCTGGTGATAATTTAAAATTCGATCTATTTACTGATTTAAAAGTATTAATTCCTGACCCATAGAAGCGTGCGGTAAATTGAACTGTTGGATTCCGGTGGTTACTTCTCATATTTAAGAGATTCTTATGAAAAAGTTTAATCATGGTCAAGTGCTTGAAGCTTTATCGTTAAATTGATAATTTTTTTGTAACCCTAATATCGATATGAACTGTTTAATGATTAGTCATAATTAGCTTATCCCAACTAAAAAAAATTAGTGCAATTCAATTAATGGTACGCAAATTAGGATGGACGTGTTAAAATTAGAATAGTATCGCATGCGATCCACCAAGAAGAATTATGGGAATTCTTTAGTTAAATGTGATTTCTTCACAAATACAGACTATCCATTTTCCTTTTTACGATATAACCCATAGCCTTGTGCTATATCCGGTTTGTTAGAGAGTTTAAAATAGGCAACGTATCCGGATCTTATAAAAAAATAAAAAGAAACTTTAAAGCAAGATGTCCCTTCTTATAACCTTAAATAGAAACACGCAGAATGTTAATGTTATAAATCTTGCTAACCTTATATTATTTAATTATAATTCTGTACTTACATTTCACCAACATGTGATTAATAGTTCACATCGGAGACGGCGTTTCTATGAAATCTAATAAACATTAGCAACATTGTCCATGGAACTATTTCATAAATACCTAAAGGAGAGATGGAGGGATGACTGTACATGTAAAAGCCTACCAATTAGTTCTTTTTCACATGGCACTTGTTCATCATGCATCCTAAGTTAACTTTGACATAATTTGGTTCAATCCAGCTTTTGAAGCTTGAAATTGTATCTAAAACTTCTTGCTTAATCCAAATTAGTTCACCAAGCAACGACTCGTATTTATGCTTATAAAGGTTTTTGTACAAAGCATCGCAAATGCTTGCTCATTCTCATCAATCATGCGATACAAATTTTTCAACTGTTCTATTATATAGCGTAAAGTTTTCGTCAACTTAGAATGTAATGAACTTGAATAGCATGTTTTAAATACTTAGATTAATAAGTATTCGTTATAAATTAACATGATAAATAGTAAGTATCATGAATTTGAATAGCTCATTTTAAACAAGTGAGTTTCTCAAAAAACAAAAACACCTTTCATTAAAAAATTTTTGATTAAGTAATCAAGCAGAGCTCCTACGTCTTCGATCAATTCGATAATCAGTCTCATCCTTGCCATTTTATTGCAATCTCTCTTAATATTATCAGTTCAATCTTCTGTATATATTGTTTCATTAAATTCGTCCAGTCTACTGAACATTCAATTTTAGTTCATCAGTTGATCAAACTTTTAACAGCCCTATGCACTGGACATACAATTCTAGTTCATCAGATGAGTAGTCTAGTTTTATCTAATTTAGTTAGTCCAATCTAACTTAATTCAGTCTAGTAATAATTACATGCAAATTATTGCTATAGAAAATGTTTTTTAGTCCACTGGTCAAGTAATATTCAGGAACGGTGTAAACAGCGGTAATCAGTAGTACGAATTCCCAGAATTCCTGGAATTCCTAGAATTCAAAGAAAAGTAAGAAAATTAGAATAGTAGGAAAAATCAGAAAAACGAGAAAAATTAGAAAAGCTAGATTCGAAAGACTCAGTTGGAGTTTGACATTAGGAAAGTGTTGCTTTACTAATCCCCCCGATAAGTGAAATCGGTAATAACGATTGAAATTCGTGACCAAATCCCGTGACGTCGTAAGAGACTCGTGACGTAATCAAGAGCTCTAATCCGACACTATCGCTAAGAACCCAATTCACCCTAGTTACTTGGACCAAGTCTTCCACGCCTCGATCGTTGCCTTACCACTACTGGAGGTTTGGTTGTATTAGCTGTGGTGTTCTGGTTAGAGTAGATTAATTAGTTTTAGTAATGTGTTGTAGTGTGTATTGGTATCATCCAGAACCCGAGGATTATTTCCCCTTCACAACGGTAAAGGTTTAAACTACTATTAAAAAAATTGAATAGCAAGTTCAGTTCTAAATTAATGTAAATAAAAATACATTCAAATAATAAATAAGATTCATTATACTTACAGACCAAATTAAGGTGAAGAAATGAAATCATACACTTAATATTTTATTTTTACTTAGATTAGTATATTTTCTCTATACTCATTATTCAAATTAATGCAATCTATATATAAATTAAATAACTTACATTATCGCTGTTTTCAAAATCCTCCCTACACAATTGACACCTAACAATGCAGAATCGATTTTCATACCCCTGCATCTCAATAATTATTATAAATTTTGGAAATGCAGGAGTATGAAAATCGATTCTACAATCGATTCCATTGTTAATGGTTAATCGTGTAGGGACACAGAATTTTGAAAACAGCGATAAATGCTTGGTGTTATACCTCATGATCAAACGTGAAAACCGATTATATAGGCTATATAATATCCTTATTGTAATTAAACTACTAAAATAGATACTTGAAAGCAAAAAGATACATTAATATTGAAAACACTAAAAAGTAAATGCTGAAAATTTCGACGTGTTAAGATAAATTGAACTAATGAATATAATCATAAATCAATAGAATCTAGCGTTTGAATGGCATGCAATACTACTTATTTGGAATATAATTTCATTTCATTTACATTTGATATAGTCATTATAAACTAATAGCAAAATACTTCATAACTAATAGCAAAATACTTTATACAAAAAAAGCTTAGCAATCCAAAAGATCTCTAACTGGCAATAATTTTACTATACCAAGCTTCGTTGGTATTTTTAAATCAAGGGTAACTTCATCGCACTTTTTAATTGCACTTGATGTATCTTGACTATTTTTCTTAGCAATAAGAACAGCTTTAACAGCTTGACATACAAAAGTACGAAGTTTCGCAAGTATTTCAGGATCTTTATTCAATGATGGCTGGTCAGTAGATTTCAAATGAAAATAGAGCGTTTGTCGACATATTTCATCACTAATGAATTCCACTAATTCAATACTAGACGGCTCTTCTTCCCTAAATTGATCAAGAATTATTATGAGATTGTTTTTATTATATCTGTTTCCAAAAACATAATTATTACCAAGGTACTTACCATTCATGAATTTCTGAAAACTCCTTAGCAAGGCTCAGAATAGTAAGATGAAGTTTATGGCGGTACGTATTATACCATCCACCAACATCTCTTACCAACACTGTCACACGATGATCGCTTTTTGATATGTTGCATACTTTAGTGATTAATTCTTCGTATAGTGCATTTGTATTATTCCTTGTTCGAAGGAAGAGTGCCTTGCACTCCTCCTGTAATCTATATCTAAGTTGCTAACATTGAAGTATATATATAAGTTTACATATTTATCAATAATTAACCAAATTCTTAAATTTTTACCTGACTAATTTCTTGAGAATTCTGCATAAAATCATATGGATGGGTCGGATTTAAGGGTATTGTATTATTAGTATTATTAGTATCAATATCTGATACCGTATAAATCCGAAATAACGCCCAGGGGCTTTATTTTAGATTTTAGCCAAAATTAAGCCTAATTTAGGCCAAAAATTGAAATTACACCCCTGGGCATTATTTCAGATTTATATGGTACTTTAATTGTCATTGCTTCATGGATTTGAATAGCTAAATTTAAGATGTCTGGGTGGTATGCTATCCACAAAGCCATTTCGAATTTATTAGATGCATTCCAAAGCTTCAAAGGATCCTTTTGAAGTAAATTATGATTCTTGATGTTAATTTCATTATCTAGTAGTGCTTCTGTTGCTGCACATGAAGTTCCTATCAAAGTTTCTATTGCTGTTGGACTGGAAGTTGCCATATGTGATGTGTTGCTTGCCGAACCTTCGACTATAGACTTTGAGGGCGGCACCTCTTCAAGAAGATCCGAATCATTAACTAAATAAAATATAATTAAGGAAATTTTGTTTATTTAATACTATATTCGAAAGTCGACCTATGTATAGTTTAATATATAAAATAATACTGGTATAATTTAAAGGATCTATAAATTAAATAGAAATAGAGTGTTAAATATATAAAATGTTGTATATAAATTATTATAATAAATAAAATGTCAGGAAATTACCTAAATCATATGCATAATTCATACTCAATGCTTTTTTGTGGCCATTCTTATCTTTCTCCAAACAGTATTCGACCTCCTCATCACTAATAATTTTCATAATTGACTGCACAGTTCTTTGTAATTGGTCATCCTCTTGGTCATTCTCTTGGTCATCCTCCTCCTCTTGGTTATCCTCTTGGTCATCATCTTGGGCATTCGTTAATTTTTGACTACTTTGTTTCTTTTTTGAGGAAGCTTTTAGTTTAAAAGTAAAAACTGGTTGCACGGTTCATCGTGCTTGGTCATCCTCTTGTTCAGTAATTAACCTTTGATTACTTTTTCTCTTTTTTGAAGAGAGGGCCGATGTTTTTGGTGTAGAATCTATATATGTAAATCAATACAAGAAAGGGTATTGTAAATCCAGAAATCGGCAAATAATTATCCATTCTTGTTGTGAAAATATAAACTTATTAGCTCTATAAATAACCTACTCATAACATTTTGTGCCCTAGTTCTAATAGGGGTTACCCTTCCAGATGGTACTGATGTGGTTTGTTTTGCAAGTCCTATAAAAGTTGATATTTAATAAATATCTTGTAAAAGAAATTTTAAATGTATAATTTATTTATCTACGTACTTGTGATTTTTTTTCTAGGAGGCATAATAATTTAACGAAAAATTCCTTGTAAAATGTTCGTATAAATATATATATTTATATCCAAAAATATATTGCATCATTATAATACATCAATTACTTTCGATTATGAGTTGTTATATACATAGCCTGAAAATGTATTGCCATAATTACTATACATCATTTACTTGCGATTATGCGTTGTTATATACATAGTCTGAAAATGTATTGCCATCATTACTATACGCCAATTACTTTCGATTATGCAATATTAAAAAGGGAAATTCTATTTTCACCTGGGTTAAAGTCACCCGATAAACTATAATGTCATTTACGTAACTAAACTTATTAATTTTAGTAATATTTTGGGTGACTTTAACCACGGTGAAAATAGAATTTTCCTATTAAATAAGTTAAATTTCACTTAATAAAATTTCACCAAAATTTCAATAATTGATAAAATTTTTACTTACTTTACCTATGAAACGATCAAAGAGAACCGCATATCCTTATCACTCTATTAATACAGTGAAGCTATGTACTACAAAGCGATATAAAGAAGAATCATGTGAAACAGTTCAAGACAAGTTACAGAGAGTTAACATGTTAGATTTTGCTAATGTGGATGTGAACATTTCAGAGAATTCACTCTTCACCAATGAATGCAATTTAATTGAAATGGCTAATAAATCAGAAACTGAATCTGATGAAACTGGCAAAGAAACTGACAAAGCTGATGAAGAAATTGGCAAGACTCATGAAGTCGACTATGAAGCTGCCGATGAAACTGACGATGAAGCTGACGACGAAGCTGATGACGAAGCTGACTACGAAGCTGACTACGAAGCTGACGACGAGGTTTAAATATTTTAAGTATTCATTATAAGATATTATTATATATGTGCTTTTTATATTTATACATTTTTCATTTACAAAGGAGCTGGAACAAATGTTCCCAAGTCTCTCCCATAGACCATTGGTTGATGTTATAGAAGAAAACTTAATAGATGATAATGTTTTAGAAGAAGAATCTTCAGAATTTAGAGGGTTTGACGGAGAATATGGCCCCTACTTTCCGAATTTCACTTCAGCAGCGATTTATATATGGAATACCAAGCACACTATATGTAAGTAAATTAATGCATTATTGAAGATGTGCCTAAATTAAAACTTTTGCCTTTTTGGGTTTAGAGTTTAGAACCTTATTTATTATATTAACTAAATCCGGTTAAATCGGGTTCTAAATTCTATTTTAAATTTATGCGCATCTATTATTTTATATTCTAATATGTAGAACAAGTGAAAGTTCATATTGTTTATAATATATGTCTTACATATAAATTATATTTAGCAATTAACGCATATGAAGATCTTGCTAAAATCATTACACATCCTGACTTTCGTGTCGAAGATGTGGTTACAAATATTCGAAGTATTCACAAATGGAGATATAGGTTGCCACTTGTTAAAGTAAATCAGCATGATATACCTACCAATAAACAAAAAACACCATCTACGACTGCGCCTACTAAAAAGGCATTTACTATATCTCCTCTAGAACATTTGAAACGCATATTGAATAATCCTAAAATTATGCCTAAATTATATTTTGGGCCTGGGGTAGTTGATGAAACAAAATGTGATTTTTGGGATGGTGATCTTTGGCAGGATTCTCCTCTTTTTGGTGAGGATGAATTTAAATGTAATAATGGAGGTTAGTATATTATTCTAAAAACTTTTAGAATTTAATTTATTTACATATTCATTTCTAAAATTTTTAAAAAATTGCATCTAATTAGAAATCTATAGATCAGGTGATTTTTTCTCGTATAAAGAATCATCAACCAAATTTATATGTCGTCTAAGGGGCATAGTAGATAATAAAATAAATAAGGATCATATATTAAAAGTGGATCGGCTTATACCACATCATAACCTTCCAAATTGCAGATCAGACAGCGCTCGCCATACTCGTGGAAACAACAAAGAGCTATGGCTCGTGGAAGGTGATTCGGCCTTTGTCAACCCAAGAAATATTTGTCAGCGCATTAATGTGTGGTTATGTGATTTACCTGAACCTAAAAAATATAATTTCTACGTTCAGGAAATTGTATATCAATTTAATGGGCGCTGGAAGTATCGTGATATATTCAAAAGGCACTATTTGCCTTCTGAATATATCACGATTAGACCACCGCCGCGACCAATGCCAGTACTGAAAGTATTTATCGATCTGTATTATGACAGTTTCGGAACTTATAGGAATGTATATCACTCTTTAGGTGGTACTTACTTACAGTTCGGAAACATGTCACATTCAGATCGGAAATTACTAAAGAATCATTTTTTGATAGGGTTTGTCCCATTCGGATCTAATTTTAATGACTTCATAAAACCAATAATTAAAGATATTCAACACTTAGAGAATGGTCTTGTCATGAGTACACTGTATGGGGATGCGTGGATTGTAGGCGGCATTGGATGTATTACATCTGATCTGCCTCAAGGTAATGAATTTGCAGGCGTTAAGCGACACGGAGCCAATCGGGGATGCCGAACATGTAATAATCTAAGTGACCAGCTGACCAATTTAAAGTATAATTATGTTGAAAACGCACGTTTTCAACAACAAACCAAGAGGCAGTTGTTAGAAGTTGAACAGCAACAGTCAAAAGTATGTAAAGAACGATTAGCAAAAACATATGGGGTGACATCCTTTGGCCCTTTTAACGGGCTTAAGTGGGATTGTCACATCCAGACACCCCAAGAGATTTATCACTCTATGGCTGGAAAGGCCCGCACTTTATTAAATGCTACAATTGATGCATTGAATACGGCTGGTGAAAATGCATTTATTACATGTTAGAACAATATTGAAAAGCCAACATGCTGGTGCCGTATGCCCAATCCGCTACGGCATCATCAAAGTTTCATGTTTTCAGATATCTTAAAGCTGGCAATATTAATGCCATTTATTCTTAATCGCTTCTTAAAATCCGATCATATTAAAGCAAATACTTTAAAAAAATGGAATAATAGAAAACAGGTTAAACAGTTGTGCATTTTATGGGCTACCGAAGCAAAGGCTCTCAAGCTCGCCTTTTCAACTGTAATGACGGAATCAATCTATCAAGAATTGCAGGAATCACTAAAAAAAGAACATAATATTCTTATTCAGGTTATGTATTATATCATTTAGCGATAGGTTCCCTGAAATCATGAATATCAAAATCTTGAAACTTAATTGTCGCGTCGCGTGATAATATTTAACCGATTATCGTAGTTACTGACCAAAGTACCCCTTTTTGCGTACCCCCATTCAAAATACCCGGGTACTTTGTATAGCATTTTTTTTTTTACCCGAGGACAATACCCGGGTATTTTGCATGGCACTTTTCACGTTAACACATTGATTTCTGCATTACATATATAAGACCGTACAAAGTACCCCCATACAAGATACCCGTCACCGATCAAGATATCCACGGGTACTTTATAAGTTTTTTTTTTGTAGTTGTATTGGACCCCGGGTATTTGGTCAGTGCACTACGGTAGTAATATCAAAATCATTGTTATAATCATAAGGTGCTATCACATTATGTGACAATTAAATTTCAGGATTTTGATTTTCGGGATAGAACCTTAGCGATGTTGTCGTGCCTGAAGTTGACATCTGACTGAAGTTGGAAATTCAGGTACCTGAAGTTGGCACCGCTAGCTAGTGCGGGCAGAACGATCTAATTTCAGGGACGAATTTCAGGCAATTGCAACTTCAAGCACCTGAAGTTCCAACTTTAGTTGAGTACCAACTTCAGGCACAAAATACCATTATTATTGTTATTTTTGATTTTTAACCTTTCTTTAATTTATCATTATATAGATGTTTCCTGAACGTTTTACAAACCTGCCAAATCTTCACGTCAATGTTCATCTTCTACAACATGCAAAAAATTTTGGCACATTAAAAAACACAGCCGTAGGCACAAAGGAAATGGTGCATCGAATTTTTAAAAAAATAGTTCCATGTACCAATCGTAAAATCATAGATCTCGAGCTTATGCGACACTACAATGTAATGCAAGCATTAAGACATATCATCGATGATTGGAAAGACCCTCGGTTTGATAATACTACTGCACTTTCAAAGCTTGCTTTAGATCCGCATCTTAATAAAATTTTCTCCAATTGGTATGCTGTAGAAAATACAACATTATATTCAGAGGATAAAGACAATGATAATGGTAAGTAACCCTATTTTAATAAATATGTTGTAAGTGAAAATAGAAATTAAGTTGATTTGAAATAATAGTCGCACTTAGAGATGTGCCGCGTACAGTACAGTAAGCAAAAAATTTTTAGAATATTCTAGAATAAATCCTGAAAGTATCCCCATCTCAAAATTTTGACTATGAAACTGTCTTTGCACACACTCTAACAAGAATTGTTCCTTGCAAAATGTTACATATAACTTATTTATAAATGCCCGTACTGTACGTACTGTACGCTAAAAAAAATTCAGGTACCGTATTTACGCGAAATGAGGAGATGCGTGTTATTTCGAGTACGCACCAACTATGCTATTTTAAGGAAATGCGATTTCAAAATAACGCCCATGTGCGTTATTTCGCGTAAATACGGTATCATATAAATGGCACATCA